TTTGTTTGCTTTTCGTTGAGGCTGCTACGGTGAGAGATGTACTATTGTTGCCATTTTCAAAGGTTCACATTTCCACCTTTTTGGCGAGAGACGCTTCTATTGCTGCTATAGACTGATGACTGATCTTTTGTTGCTAACTTGCTATAGATGGCTTCGGTTTTGGAGGATCATTCCTTATTTTTGGTTGATATAATCTGATATTTATTCTATTTTGGTGAGGTTGCTATTCTGATATTTGAACCTTATATCAGTATTTTAAGGATAAATTTCTACAACAATTAGATTACCTGTGCTTATAATATTAATTGTTGGATTTGGTTTGTTGGTGATCATGACAGAGAAGTGGCTCTGTGCCTCTGTATATGTCATACTTCTTTGAGAAAAGTCTGACTCTATACTTGTGTTTGTGATTTTATAAGTTAACATTGTGTCTTGTTTTTCATATTAGAAACATGGTGGACGAAACTTCTGCATCTGCTAGTATTGACCAACCCTTGCCATCACAATTAATTGATTCTAGTCAAAATGAAATGCCACCTCTTATTGGACCAACTCCACCAACTCCTCCTCTTGTAGCTATTGATCCTGCCTCTAACCTTGCACAAGATTGTGGTCCAGAGAATGTGAGCAGAAAGAGAAAAGAGCCTGCAAAAAAGAGTAAACAATCACAAGTTTGGGAGCATTTTGTAAAGTTACCTTTGGAAGAAACAAATGGAGAGGTTAGAGCTTCTTGCAAATACTGTCATGCAACTTATGCTTGTGACCCAAACAAGCATGGGACAACATCATTGAAAAGGCACTTTCCAAAATGTCCTAAAAACCCACATAAGGCTACCACAATACCAAAGCAATCACTCACAACATAGCGCCAGGCTTTGAATATATTGTCGACTTCGTTGCACAATTCGCTTTCACAGAGGTTTTTGGCTGATAGCCAAAATGTGGGACTAAACTATGGATAAAATGCTGTTAATAAAAGTCTTTTGTAGATATGGCTCTCTCGTAATGTCATTTATTATCTGGATATAAATGTTTCAATTAACTAGGTTTGTAAAATAAACTAGGAACCATCAAAAAAATTAACTAGGAACGTTATTGGTGTTTGATCAGTTAAATTAATTAAACATGTCTAGTTTGATATTAATATTTAATATTAGGGGTGGAGAAGAATGAATAGATGAAGGAAAAATATATAACCTAGTTTAATGTTACTTAGTTAATAAATTAATTTATATATATTAAAAAATTTAGGTAAATTATTTGTAAAGAAAATATGTTATAATTTTTCTAACATACCCATATATATATATATATATATAAAACTGTTATGATGTAAATAGTTTGAAAGTCAAGACAATATATAACTATTATGATATAGTTATAGCTATATAGTTAGGAAAAAATAATATAATAAATATAAGGGATAAAAGAGATTGGGATTTATATTTAAACTTAATTTAAACTTTCAATTTAAGGGTGTATATTTTAATATGGTTTTTTATTCACAGAGAAGGACGATTTTTGTGTCAAATTAATTTATATAATATTGGTTAATTTTTAATATATCTTGATAATCTTTTATCATTTAAATTTTAAGTCAGAATTTTTCTTGATGTACTATCCTCTACTGCTCTAGATATCTGATTTAGTCAAAGTTTGTTTGCATTAACATCAATATTAAAAGATAAATCGTATGATTTGGAATCTTTTCTATTGGATATATCACACACACACACACACACACACACACACACACACACACACACACATTATATGGCTAGACAGAAATAATTTTTTTTTTTTATCTAGATTACACACACACACACGCACGCACATATATTATATGGCTAGACAGAAATATTTTTTTTTATCTAGATTAGTGAATAATACGATAGATATAAGATAATTATGTAAATATTAAAATAAACACATATAGCATATATAAGTTTTATCTAAAAAATAATTTGTGAAAAGTCCAACCTTGAATTATGTCGATTCCTTGTAAAATAATCCCCAGTCTCAACATTAAGATCAATATTTAATTCCACTCTGCGCCTGAGTTTTATATTGATTTTTTGAAGATTGAGTAAAAATAAATAGATATCAGATTCCTCACTTATCGGTTCGAGGCTCGCTTATACATAATATCATTTTACAAACTTAAAAAAATAAGATGATTGTATTAAAATTTAATTATAAAATGTTACGATCTTAAAAATAAATTGATTATACTAAAACTAATCGTCCAAAACTAATTAATATTACTTTGTCAGAAAATAACATGAAATATTAAAAAAATAAGCGATCTAAAAAAGAATATCTGATTCATTAATAATTTAATTTACTCACTCTCTCTCTCTCTCTTAAAATTAGATATTTGGGGATATTTTAAGTTTAAAAAGGAGGGGGAAAACAAATTAAAGCTGGGTGCCAGAATGCATGTATGTAAATTTACTTGTGAGGATATTTTCTATTCATCTAATATTGAATATTGCGAAGTGTCCAGAGAAGACATGGCATATTGCAGCCATGAAGAAACGATTTGAAGCAAAATTTCATCTACTGTGATAATATTTTATTTATTTCTAAAATATTTTTGGTACTTTTGTGCATTAGATATTCTTGTGTACATTTTTGTTTTGGTGCAATGATTTAAAGTTTCCAATGGTGCCCTCATTCAAAATTAGAAAAGAGAAGTAATTGGAATTATTATTATTGCATAAAACTATTCCTATACCTTAATTAAGGACAAATTAAATACAGATTCTGAGCTAGACCAGTCTAAAACTTAGTCCTTATGTTTGATTATTTGAAGAGGATGTAGTACTCCGGAAATGCAGGTTAACAAGTAGTAAATGAATAGGAAAAATAAATGTTGCATGACCTTGCAATTCACACACTTGAACATATTTTGATTCGCATGCATGAACTTATTTCTATACCGTAAGTAATTGTTAAGAAAGCACCTTTACCTTAATTGGTCGAGATTTAGGCATGCCCATGGTTTGAATTGCTTTAATTCTCATTCACTTTACTCCACCCCCAATCCATCTTTTGTGACCTGTGTTTTGACCTCATCAAACGCTCGATTTGAAATTATTTTTTAATAGGTGGAATGATGGTAAAAGATTAAATTTAAAAAATGCTGAATAGTAATTACAAGGAAGCACAATCATGCATTTTAAGGACCCAATCCATCTTTTGTGACCTGTGTTTTGACCTCATCAAACGCTCGATTTGAAATTATTGTTTAATAGGTGGAATGATAAATAGTAAAAAGATTAATTTAAAAAATGCTGAATACTAATTACAAGGAAGCACAATCATCCATGCATTTTAAGGCTTTGATTATAGGAATGCATCGGTGATGTAAAAGGCAAATATCCACTAACATTGTTTGGATTTAGTCCATGGCAGAACCAAGACCCTGAATCAGGGAGTGCAGGATAATATAATTATAAATTAAAAATTAAAAATTAAAAATTATATATTTTTAAAAAATAATTTACATTAGGCAAAAATTATAAGAGCATGAATAAAATTATAAATACTTTTATCCAGAAAGAATATATTGAATTTTTTTCGTCAAAAATATGTTAAGAAGGTTGGTATGGAGTTAAATTTAGATTCAAATGTTTAAAATTATAAATACTTTTATCCAGAAAGAATATATTGAATTTTTTTCGTCAAAAATATGTTAAGAAGGTTGGTATGGAGTTAATTTAGATTCAAATGTTTTTTTCTTTTTTGAGTCAAAAGGTTCAAAATACTAAAACTGAGAGGTGAAAGGTTTGTGAATTTTCCATGTTACATGTATAATTTTTTCCCATGTGAGGCATGCATTCCCTCCCTCCTTCACATCAATGTGGCTTGGCCATTAAGTTTAGTGAAATAGGCGTCCTTGATTATCTCGTAATTTTTTGGTTGTTTGTGAATTGGGTCTAAAATCCTCATCATGGTTCGGAGATACTTCGAAACTTAAAAGGGCAAAATTACTTACTAATGAAAATTGATTACATTATCTTGTAAATTATAGGACAGATAGTTACCAACTACACAAACTTTTTTGGGTGATTACTCTTATTTATCTTGTCCTGTTTATAGGATAAAGAAAGAAAATTAAATTTTTATTATATTTATAGAACATTTTATTTTTTATATTACCTTTTTATTTTTATTAAATATTAAAAAAATTATTAAAAATAGTTTTTTTATCTTTATTAAAGAATAGAGGTAAAAATTTATTAAATTTTAATATATAATTAATAAATTTAATTTTTTAAAATTTTGATAAAATATTTTATAAGAAGAAGTAATTATTAAATTTTAATATATAATTAATAAAATTTAATTTTTAAAATTTTGATAAAATATTTTATAAGAAGAAGGTAATTTATAAATAGATACAGAACTATAGTATTAATATTAATATTGTTGTGGAATGTTATGATTATAACGATAAGTACCATCGAAATCACCGCATCGAATGAATGAAGAGATGAAAAAGGTGTTGCACCCATGTGCCTCACGCAATGCCTGAGATTTAGGTTGCGAAGCGTGGCCGGCCAAACAACAGGAGGCCTCTCCTCCTGACACATGGCCCCTTCCCTCCAATACTACTCAAAACGGCGGCCGCCCATCAATCATCCCTAACACCAAAAAAAACAGTAAAGTTTAATTCCCACATCACCTCCTCGCTTTCCACCTTTAAGCCAATAAATTGCACCAAAGTTTCAACCTTTATATATATATTGACACATGGCCCCTTCCCTCCAATACTACTCAAAACGGCGGCCGCCCATCAATTCATCCCTAACAACCAAAAAAGTAAAGTTTAATTCCCACATCACCTCTCGCTTTCCACCTTTAAGCCAATAACATTGCACCAAAGTTTCAACCTTTATATATATATATATATATATATATATGTGTTTGTATGTATATAACACGAGAAAGATATAGCTTCTACCAGACTAATCTTCAACATACTGAATTCACACATGGAGTGGACTAGGGGGCACACCATCGGTCGGGGTCCACCGCCACCGTGTCGGTTGCTGAGGTTCGTGGGTCTGGTCGGATTTTCGCTGTCAAGTCAGTGGAGCTCCATCGCTCCGAATTCATCAGGAGAGAACAGAGTATTCTCTCCGCATTAGACTGTCCTCATATTGTAGCCTACGAAGGTTGCGGCATCACATTTGAAAATGGTGAGTTGATGTATAACTTGTTCATGGAGTATGCGCCTTATGGGTCAATCGCCGACGAAATTCGCGAGCGTAATGGTGGGTTTGATGAGCTTCTGGCTGGACGCTATGCTCGTCAGATTCTGCTTGGGTTGAACTATTTGCATTCCAATGGGATCGTGCATTGTGATTTAAAAGGTCAAAATGTTCTGCTCACCGATGAAGGGGCTAAAATTGCAGACCTGGGCTGTGCCAGGAGAGTTGCGGCGGCGCAGGATTATTATGGTGGAGTAATTGCCGGCACCCCGGCGTTCATGGCGCCGGAGGTGGCGCGCGGGGAGAAGCAGGGGTTCCCTGCCGATGTGTGGGCTCTTGGATGTACTGTGCTGGAGATGTTCACCGGAAAAGCACCGTGGCATGACATTTCCGACCCGTGAGTGTTCTCTATCGAGTCGGGTTCTCCGGCGGGGTGCCGGAGATTTCAGATTTATTGTCGGAGCAAGGGAAGGATTTTGTCACCAGGTGTTTGAAAACAGATCCGAACGAGAGGTGGACTGCAGGCGAGCTTCTCAAGCATGAGTTCGTTCAGGATTCAAGCAGTGTCTCGGAGAAATTTGATGATTCTAGTTCAAATTCTCCAACTAGTGTGTTGTTGGATCGATGCTTTTGGGACTCGTTGGAAGAGTTGCACACAACCCGAACCCGAACCCGAACCCGACCTCGACCTATGAGCACGACTGTCTGGGGATCCTCCTAGTCCCAGAAGTAGAATTCGTAGGTTATCTTGCTCTATGCCCAATTGGGAATGTGATGACAAGTGGATCACAGTTAGAGACAGCAGCATTAGGGAGTCGGTGAGATTCTTCAATGGCCTAGAATCTAATGAAGAAACAGAGAGTCGTGGATTAGACAGTGCAAATTACATCGGAGAGGACAATCATTTCCTTGTTACTTGTGAACCCAGAACAGTCAGTACAGTTGGATTGAGCGAATGTTGTCATATTAATTACGTTTGCAGCACCGGAGAGATTCTTTATTCGTTGTTCACAATCACAATGTATAATGAATATGGCTCCCAATGGAAATATTTTGCATGACTTGCTTTCCGTTTCTCATCCTGCTTTTGGAAGCATGGCTTTATTTTGCCGTCTCTAAATCAGAAATCTGCTCCGCTGAGAAAATAACCATTCTCGATGCTTTTGGGACTCGTTGGAAGAGTTTTGCACACAACCCGAACCCGAACCCGAACCCGACCTCGACCTATGAGCACGACTGTTCTGGGATCCTCCTAGTCCCAGAAGTAGAATTCGTAGGTTATCTTGCTCTATGCCCAATTGGGAATGTGATGACAAGTGGATCACAGTTAGAGACAGCAGCATTAGGGAGTCGGTGAGATTCTTCAATGGCCTAGAATCTAATGAAGAAACAGAGAGTCGTGGATTAGACAGTGCAAATTACATCGGAGAGGACAATCATTTCCTTGTTACTTGTGAACCCAGAACAGTCAGTACAGTTGGATTGAGCGAATGTTGTCATATTAATTACGTTTGCAGCACCGGAGATTCTTTATTCGGTTGTTCACAATCACAATGTATAATGAATATGGCTCCCAATGGAAATATTTTGCATGACTTGCTTTCCGTTTCTCATCCTGCTTTTGGAAGCATGGCTTTATTTTGCCGTCTCTAAATCAGAAATCTGCTCCGCTGAGAAAATAACCATTCTTTTAAATTTTCATGCAACTGAAAGTAAAAATTCATTTCCCCTCATTCAACGAATCTCCTAGATATTGCAAAAGGAATGAAGAAATCGCTGACACTAGAGCTTTTGTTCTTCTGATAACGATAAATGTAGATAAGCTAAACACATTAGATGTTCTAATGCTCCTTTTCAAATTAGTTGAGAGTGTTTTTTTTTTTTTTAATACAAAGACCACGACAAACTGTATAAAAGACTAAAGGCCCGTTTGAATATATAACTTTTAACTTTTGAGATGTATTTTTATACTTTTTGAATGTAGAATATTATTTAAAAATTTTATAATTGAGTAAACTGACTTTTTGAATGTACATTGAAAAAGTTATTGAAAGTGAATTTGAGAACTTAACTTTTAAAACTTTTCAAATTGACTTTTTGGTGTTGAACTTTTAAATTTATTATACTGCCCTTATTTTCTTACAGTACTTATTGTGTGCTCTGTTTTATTAGAATTTGAATTTAATGCAATAGCCACAAGGCTAAATATATTATATAGAGAGGCAATTTTGTAAACCTTCTGTATATGAAAAAGAAAAAAAAGTTTTTAGTCCTATTTATAGGGCATGCTATTCAATATTAATGATTGTTGAATTATTTATTATATTTTTTTCAATATTAGACTTTACATTTTTTATTCTTATTATTTAACATATTAAATTTTATGTTATTTTGAATTTTTTTCACATTTTTAATATATTATATTTGTATAACAAAAATTATAAATTATCACAAATTAATATCTTTTTGATCATTATTTATTTAAAAGTGCATTTTAAAAGTACAAATTATCATTAATCTAAACAACTTTCAATTTAATAAACTAATTTTTGAAAAAACATATCAAAACACAAATTTCGTTATAACAACTGACCTTTACTAAACTGATTTTCGCCAAATGGACTTTCATCAAATGAATTTTTAACAAACTAAAAACCAAATACACACTAAGTCTTAGTCATATCTAAAGCCATAAGGCTTTTACAATCATTCAGTGGTTATTTAAGATCATAATATTAAAGTTCACCAAATAATATCTACGAGCCAAGAAATTAGCGCAAACTATTTGCTTCTCTATAGACGTAATCAAATGGGACTATCCAATCTCTCATGGTGAAGTCTCTTTTTGATTGTGTCAAATAAAGGATGATCTCTAAAATAGCTGTGATTAATGAGGGACAACGCCTCCATTGAGTCTAAGTAGACATTAACATTGTTAAATTTTTCACTCCAACAAAGGTTAAAGCCTTCATAGATTCCCATGAATTCTACAGCTGTGTTAGGAGAATAGTCGAAAAATTTGTGAAAGCTTTCATCCAAGGTCAAAGTCTAATATTGGTTACCTTCTTTTTATCTGGAGTGGTAAGCATATTAATGATTCATAAATTGGTTGGATTCATATTATACTGAATAATAATTGTGGAATTTTGTGTTATGTCTGTATTGACAACTTGTATTAAAACATAGTCTTGTTCAACGTTTATTTTTTAAAAAATATATAGTTCAAATGATTTGGACCAAGATTGCCTTTAAGAATAGGTAAATAGGCTTGATTTAAATGCAAGCCCATTGTTCAAAATGTTAAGTCTAGGCTTAAGTCAACCCACCAAGTTGGACCAAGTATAATCACAAGTCAGCCTAGCTCATGCACCTCAGGCTTCTATGCACAATTTGTCAAGTCTTAGGTAAAACAAATTCGCTATATTTCACCAAATAAAAGCTGGGAAAAGAAATAATCTATAGAAGCAAACAAATAAAAATAAAAATAAAAATAAAAATTCAGCACTGTGCATGGAAATAAGATTGATCACACTTCGTTAGAACAAAATTTATGCAGCTTCACTCTGTTTCAGCAATGAAGTCTAAATTGAAGTCAAAGCAAAAACTTTTTTCCCTTGAAGAACATGCTGGGAAAGATTGATAACCTCTTGTTAGCATGGTGCCATGGTATTCCAGAAAAGTGCACATGAAAATGTGGTCTTTGTTTATATGTTCTTCTTGCCACCAGAGTGTGACAATCTCCGGTCAGATGAATGAAGTTCATTGCGGAGGTTCTGGTTTTCTTCAAGCAAGCGATCATACTCCAGAAGGAACCCCTCGGATTGTTTCCTCAGAGCAACTGCATTGGCTTCTGCAACTTTTACATCTTTTGTTTTCGATACAAGTTCAAATTCCAATCGTTTAAGTTCTGCTCTCAACTTGCCTGGTTCTTCTTCCAAGGCTTTCATTTCTTCTGGACTTCCAATTATTCCATCTTCGGGCCCCCGTATTTGTTTCTTAATAGCCTCCATGGTCTTTCTTCGCATTCGAAGTTCTCGTATGTAGTGGTGTAGTCTGTCAATCATGAATACAAGAAAAATGACAATACCTGAAAATGATTGGCCAAAACCAAACAATCAAATTACTAACAAGAATGAATGTCTTCAAATGTATCAGAACATTAGGTAAACTACAGTTCCGACAGCTCAAAATGTTCTTGTCTAGATTGGACTGGAATTGAACATATGGCCATTCATTAATGTGATTTAAAGTTTGAACGGTTGTTCTTGGTAATTCAATTGAATGATGTTGTTGGCATGACATTGAAAGCACATTTAGCATAATAAGTTGATTTTTATGGCATCAGAATATGAAAGAAATGATCTTCCCTGCTGAAATGCTGAGATTCCTCACGGAATGCAAGGAAGAGAATCATATATAATTAAGAAAGACATGAAAGAAAACAAGAACAAGAAGCAAGGCCCTCTATGAAGAAATGGAGATTCCTGACTCTACAAAGTCAAGCCCCATGATAGAATTGCCATTGTGTGTCCTCTTTCTTATGAAACTATGTACTATGTAGTTTTCCTGTTCACCAAAGAAATGCAGGAATGAAACCATCATTTCCACATATCAAATATGACTGAGGGAAATTTGCATTTAACACAACGCAATTTTCACACTGCGCTCGAAAGAGCTACTAGAAGCAGGAATTATCTGGGGAAATGCAATTTATGCACTTGAAAGTTTCTTGAGAAGAAGGTATAACTGCTAATCAAATAATTCTGGTTCATGTCAAACATACAAACATTGTTGGAGCTTGGAAGCAGTTACATAGTAGTGAGGAAAGGACAATAGAAATATTAAGGCCATCAGCAGTAAAGAAATTAGAAAACAAAAGATTAAACTGGTGGAAAGAAAATGGAAAAACCAATAAAAAGTAACTACAACAAGAATAACCCGTGAAACCAGTAACTTGTTCCTAAGAATAAACTAACTGTCACATAGAGTTGGAATCTAGATCAGACAGAGAAGCAAGGGAAACTTTTCCCAAACACAATACCTATACACTACATGCAGGGAAAACAGGAAACAAGGCAAACTTCATTAATATGGTCATTATTACAGACGAATCATGCACATAAGCTAACCCATTCTCTCCCCTAAAATTGATGTATATCTGAGAACTCAAGATGAAGACATGAGAAAAACAATGAAGCATGCACAGGGATATTCTTATCTATGTGACTGCACAGCCTTTGAAAAAGCAATCAATATATCAAAAACTTATGTCCATGCAGTTAAGTAACTATAGGTCCTATGCCCTTTACAAACAGGGCATTTGAAAACCGTTGAGGGCTGGCTTTTTTTCCTTTGCTGGATATCACCCCCTCACTTCCTCTTTCTCCAAAAGATACCGCAAGAACTGCAACATTTTTCCTAATCTCACATTTTCCATTTTATTCAGAAGCTTGCATAGCTCCTGTTACACCAGCACTTCGCTCTATTTAAGTTAAGAAACTAAGAAATCACCAACAAACAGCAACGCATTCTAGACCGAACTATAGAATCTAGACACGAATTCTGGAAGGACAAAGAAGGACAAACCATTCAATTGCCGATTACAACCATAGCGTACATTAGCTGCAGTTAGATCTCAATGCATAAAGTTACATTCATTATATTAAGCAAATGAAACCTTGTTCTAAGTTTGAATCGGATTCAACTATCAAGCCGCGATCTCACTCAACGCCATCCTTTTCCATCTTTGACCCCGCAAAGATCCTTAATCGATTTTACCCGGAGGAAAAATCATTGAAAACAATTCCATTCAATTATTAAAGCAAAATTTTACTCGATAAAGTGAAAGGAGGAATACCCATTAGAGTAGCTTCAAGAAGGCGCTGGGCCATAAGAACCTGATCAGTAGGATTTGCGGCTCCATTTTCGATCTCACGCTTCCGAATCTTCATCATGCTGTATACATTAGAAAGCAAAACGACGATAATTGTTCCCGCGACGGACTTCACCATCAAGGGTCCTCGGCCGCGCTTCAGCCGATCCAAGCCCAAGATCACCAGCTTCCTTAAAGGGGTCTTAAATAGCAGTACCATTATCAGTGCCATCTCCAAGAATATCACTAAGAACAATAAATTAATCATCTTTCTTAGCAGTGAAGTTCAGAGACTTAAGATCTTTACTATTTGATTGAGTTCTATTGATGGTTGACAATTTGGAGTCAACGAGCGAAAATGCTGGATCCAATTTGAAGATTTAGGTCACACTGTCATAGAGCTCAAATCAAATCAAGAGTACTGATTCAGAAGGAGACAGCAGAAATATGAGTTGGCAGGATGGTGGCTGAGAGCTGAAGAATTCTGGAGTAAGCTTACAGAATGGGCTTCCACTTATGGTCATCCGCTTCAAAATTTGCATTTTTTTTCTAAAGTCCTCCAACTTTCTTGTTACTTGGGTAAGGTCTAAGAACTCAAGTATCTTTGGTGTTCCTCCTGAGTTCTCTTCCCCATTTTTGTTTTTGACTAAGGTTAACATGTAATTTGAATTTTAAATTATAGATTTAAAGATGATTTAAACTCTAAATTTTTAAAAAATATATTATGAATCTTAAATAATTAAAGCTTAAATAATTTTTTTCACTATTAAATTTTAACAAACATATAGTTTTTTAAAAATTTGGACTTACTATATAATTTTTATCAAATTTTATTACTTTCATTTAGTGCAAATTGCACATTAAAATTATGTTTGTTTAAATTTAATGGTGTGAGTGAAATTATTTTAACTTTAATTGTTTAAGGTTCAAAATATATTTTTTAAAAGTTTATGATTTAAATTGTCCCTAAATCTATAATTCTTGATTCAAGTTACATATTAACTCTTTTGTTGCTTCATTTTTATTTTTATTTTTTTTTGAGAGGAAGAAGAATTTCATTTTAATGTCAAGTAAATTTCTTGATATGTTTTTCATTGAATTTTTTGCATTAAAAATTTTGACCTTGTCAATGTATTTTCTATTTCCCCCTATTTTTATATATTATAATATTATTTTAATTATTATCCAGAACATTTATATTTTTATTTTATTAAAGTATAGATATAAAAATTTTATCCTCAAAATTATTTTTATTTTATTCCTTTCTATTTGCTGTGTACCAGAAAAAATAACTCATTTCTATATAAAAAAAAACGAAGAAGAAGGTGCCCCACATATTAATTGTGTGTGAAATTGGAACTTCTTAACACTTTTGAGAAGTGAAGAAAAATTAAATAAATTTTCTATTGGTTGTATATTGTTGAATTTAGGGATTTTGGTGGTGATCAGACTAGCAAAGAAGCATGAAGGAATATGGAGCCATTTTAGTATGAAGCTGGATTTTGTTTTATTGAGAAAACGATATGTGAAATGAAAGAAAAGGGGTTCCTATCATCAAACATGGATTCAAGTGGAAAGTAGCGTGCGGCAATAAAGGAAAAGGAAATATATACTTAGTAGCGCTAGCAAACAAGTTGCCCTAGAATTTATTTCAGTTGAAGTGTGTTATATTAAAAAATTAAATTTGCTTTTCTCCATTATCTTAAAATGGACATAGGGAAAATGTTTCAATATCTGCACCTTGCAAAAATATACATTTTTTTTAAAACGACTTTAAGAAATTCAGGAAGTACAACTTAATTTTTGCAATTAAAAATCTAAAATTTATTAAAATAAATAATATGTTAAGAATAGGGCTTTGTCTCATCTAATTTCTCTGTACCTTCGTTGTTGTTTTGTGTTTGGAATGTTGCTTTGGTGTCTTAAAGTCCTGAACTATTAGGACTAAACTTGATTCATTAGCGGCTCTTTTCAATTTATATTTAAAGGATATATAATGTATTTAAAATGGAAGAAAACCAATATTTTTTTGGGGCATTTGCAGATAAAACACATGTTATGAGATTAAACTGAACAAATTATTCAATTTTTATTGTGTTTTATGTTATGGGTAGTTTCTTATATTTATCAATAATATATCATTGTATATCAATAATAAACCTTTTGTAAATTTTTTTAAAAATTAATCATTTGGTCTTTGTAATTTTAATTTAGTTATAATTTAGTCCCTGAATTTTAATTCTTTATAACTCAATACTAGAAGTTTTGACTCAATTGTAAATTAATTCCTCAACTTTATCTCTTACAATTTAGTCTTTAAAATTTTAATTTTTTAAATATTAACCCCTACATTTTAAAAAATAAAATTATAAAAATTCAAAATATTTTAAAATTTATTACTAATATTTTAAATTATTAAACCCTTTTAATATTTTTAAATATTATAAATATTAAAATTTTAAAATATTTTTAATCTTTATAATTTTATTTTTAAAAATATATGGACCAATATTTAAGAGGTTGAAACTTCAGGGACTAAATTGTAAGATATAAAGTTCAGAGACTGATTTACAATCTAGTCAAAACTTTAAAAATTGTATTATAATAAGTCAAAGTTTAGATATTGAGTTACAATAGGGTCAAAACTATAAGAACCAATGATTAATTTTTGCTAACTTTTTAAATTTTTAATGATAAACTCCTTATATATCAACATGAATTGACTACAGTTCCAAATTTTTAAAAATTTAGTCTATATTTTTTTTGCATAAAATTTTTTTTTAGGAGTGAACTAATTTATCCTTTTTTTTTTTGTTAATACATTTGAAGAAAACCAATATTGACTTCATTCAATTATTATAATTTTGATCTATCATCACACTTTCAATTAAATTATATGGAGGTTGTTCAAAGCACAAAATCATGTCTTGTATTCTAACATTGATGAGGAGTTAATGATAAATCTTTTTATAAATTTTTAAATTTTTAATAATAAATCTCTTATATATCAATATAAATTAGCTACGCTTCCAAATTTTTAAAAAATTATTCTATATTTTTTTGGCACAAATTTTTTTTTTGCCAATGAGTTAATTTATCTTTTTTTTTTTGTAAATTTGAAGAAAACCAATATTGATTTCGTTCAATTATTATAATTTTGATCTATCGTCACGTTTTCAATCTAATTATATGGAGCTTGTTTTCTCTTTTAAGCAAAACATATTATCATGTCTTGTAAACTAACATTGATTAGGAGTTTCTGGGCATAATTTGATCTCATCACATAAACATATCACCCTTTAATCATGCCAGTCTTAGTTTTATCAAGTTATGTAATAATTGATTGTAGATCTAACGTTGTTTATTCTTTTAATTTTAGCTTGGTATTTCACTATTTTGGTTTTTCTTTCCATGTGGATTACAAATTGTCGACCACAAAGAACGTTTGTAGGCTCAATAATGTTTTTAATGGGCTGAGCTCGCCCTTTCTTCTATGGGTCGAGCCCATTCTGAAAGTTGGCTTTTTAGAAAGCTTATCTATATAATTGGTCCAAAAAAAAAATTGAAGCTTATCTATATATTATTTTAAAAAAAGAATAAGAAAAAGAAGGAAAGAAAACTTATCTATATGCCAACAGGGATTAAGTTTAGTGGAGGGGTTAGTCTTTCATAACATGATGATTAATGTTAATCTCTATTAAAAGATATGCCATATTTAGTGTTTTATCATGCTTTAAATGAGATCATCTTCAATTTTAAAGATACATACGAGCAATAAAAAAAAAGACAAAAAACAAAAAGCTTATCTATGATGAATTTATTTTGAAAATTCAACAGCTTGTTCAAAATCCGAAACTCGTCACGCCTAGGTTTTCATCAGGTATTCTGCGAATTTAATTTTATTCATTAAAATTCAAAACTCATTGACTCATGAAGCATATCAGGCAAAGACCAAAGTTCTATTAAAGCAAATTTAAAGCCATACTGTTAAATATACTCCGTGACTCCGTGTTATGTCTATTTTCTTTTGAAATTTCTATCAAAATATTTATTTCATCCCTGATTACAAAATAAATCATCAGAAACTGGTGTGGTGTAATAACAAAATGAAGAACAAAGGCAAAGCTAATATAAATCCTGTAAGTTTATGCACACAATGAATCAATACAAATGAAAATACTCCTAGAATAGCTTGCTGGCAAACTCTTCAACATCACAGTTCTTCTCTCTATCTTGGGATGACAATGCAGCAAAGTGCCTGAGTTCTGATACACTCCTACCTAGCTGTAAAGCAATTTTGATTTCTAACAGATCCCCATTTTCTCTTGTATCAGCTTCTTGCTCCTTTATGTTTTGCTCGATAGTCTCTTCCATGAGTTTCAAAAACCCAGAAGCTCCCCTATACAACTCAAACACCATCCCAACTTGCCCGCCATGCTCTATGGTGTTGACCACACTGGCCAAAACTCCACCTATGACTCCAACCATCACAGGCCAGGACGAATCCACAGAACCTAGAAGGGCAGAACCAAAAGCTGCAATCCCAGTGAATGATGGACCAGAAATTGCCAATGCTTTGTTAAAGTTCAAAGCTTTTTCACTCTTGCTCACACATTCTGCTAGGTCCTTTCTCTTCAGCACTCTCACAACCTCTGTTAATTCTTCTACCAACTTTTCATCCCATCCATTATTTCCTTTTGGTCTTCCACTTAATTTTTTTCTTTCACCCCTTTGCTTCAATTCAGTCCACCACCTTGCTGGTTCAACTTTTCTGGGGAATTTATCAATCATTGAGCCTAATAAAGGAAGTGGGTATGCCTCATCCAATGCCAAGACTTTCTCCATTGCTTCATTCACATCATCTTCATTGGGATCCCCAAGAGAAATCCTTGTTCTGAGTTCCCTAAGAAGCTGCTTGAACAATCTAGCTGCGTTTCTTTGTTCTTCTGCAAGCTGAGATGGCTGGATCTTGTTCATCACCACAAGCATCCCAGTGACTGCAACATAAAGAACTGTAGAGGAAACCTTCAGAGCCAAGAGGGGAGCTTTGCCTGCACTAATGGCTGCAAAAGCAGCCATTGTTGCAGCAGAGAGAGTCATCATATTAATGGATGTCAGGAGGAGATGATTCCAATTGTCACGTTGTGTTCCAACGTTTTTATGCATCTCCACTCTATCTGCAACAATTTCCATAATCAAATGAAGCTTAGCAACCTCCATGGAAACTTGATTGCTCTTGCTGCAGCTGTTGATGGCAGAGTCGTAAAAAGAATCATCTTTTGCATGATTTGTGGCTATGGTAGTAGATGAGATGTAGTTATTGATGTTCAATTCAGCCACCAAACCTTTATTGTGAAGAGGAAGCCTTGGAAGAGAGATCTTCGGCACACTGTTTGTGGCAACAATTGTTCTTGTTCTATGACAGGAGAATGAAGAACAAGAAACTGATATTCCTGAAAAAAGAAGCTTGGCCATATACTATGATGACAACTTTGGTGTGATATTAAGATTCTTGTAACTTTATATCGATGATTTATATAGGAATGCAAGTTGACTTTGAAGTGTTTATAAAATAGAACTGACCGACAGAGATGTGTAAAAACTCAACGAAGCTTGGATCTACTCCATGTTCTCCTTCCTATTCTGACTTTCAAATTTCAACTTTCAACGACTAAATGAGTAATCATCCAAAACTAATAAATAATTTATTTATGAACTAGGAAGAATGACAGATAAGTCCCAATAAAATTAATTAATTTAAATTAAGTCTCAAATACTAAACTTCGAAATTTGCAAATACAACTCTCAATTTTGTAATTTTGTTACTATAAATTTGTAACTTATTTTTTAAATTTTAACATAATTAAAAAATAAATAAATTTATTTTTCTTGTTAAAATTTAAAACACAAGTTGTAAATTCATTATAATGAAGTTGTAAAATTAAGAATTGAAGTTACAAATTTTTGAAATTTAGCACTTGAGACCTAACTTAAATTAATTGATTTTTTTAATATCTCTCTGTCATTTAAACTAACTAGGCTTCAAAGTTCAAAAGAATGATAATCATATTAACCAAGAAGTTTTATTTTATCCTATTTTTCTTTAATGCGTGACTAAAGTGGAAATCAACGAAGTTTTTGTAACATTTTGACAGATTTGATAACGTGTGTTATATATTCAAAAGTTATGTTACAAATTGCTTATCACGTGGGTTCGGTTAAATCTTAAATACCAGTGTAAATTTTCACAGTGTACACATTTTCAAGTGATAAAGTTCTAAAAGTGGTTCATTTTTCTGACCAATTACGTTCATTTAATTCCTCTGGTTGTATTACCAAGCAATTTTCAACTCAAAGTAGTGCCACAGACTTCTCCAATGTTCACACCTCAATCACAACTCAAGTTCGATAAGATATCACTTTTTTTTTTTTTGAAAAAGGAAACTTTAATTACAGGTTTAGATTTTATTGTGTTTTTTAAGTTTCCAAAAGCAGGCAACAGTCAGATTTTGTCGCCAATACATATACTTTTTAATTTTTAATTTTTTTTAGTACTTCAATAGCAATTTGAAAGTCAAATAAGATATTTGGAAACCTAAACATACTCGGTTTCACAAGACAGATAGGAAACAGTGGATTTGCCACGCCATCTACAAAGCAAATAGTTTGACTTTCATAATGGTTTCAGAATTCAAATATGTTTCAGTCTTTTTGAAATACTTCTCCAAGCTTACGGGAGTCGTCTTAAGATATATAATTCCACGCAAATAAAGTTCACAAACTTTTATGTTCCGAGGAAACCAAGCTTATGTCATGCATATAGATAAACTACAGGGTGTGAACGAATCAGAACGCCAACACCAGACTACATTAAAAAGAATAAAAATAAAGTCCTTCCAACATATTGGAAGTTAAGATGTCCCCAATGATTTTAAAGTGAAACAGTAAAGCCTGAACAATGTAACATTTGTGCGCTGTATTCTTGTTTACTTCAGGCTTTGGTCAGCACCAGAGATCGTGCTCTAAGGTTTAAGAATATTCCCCTGAAACAAAATACACATGCAGAATTATTTCAATTTGTCGTTTTACCAAAGAGAATGATGAACAAAGGAAATCAGGGAATTATGAGAAAAAAAGGCTAAAATAACAAGGTACCAGCAGAATGCAACTAAGCTGTGGAAAATGACTCGGAAATGGAGAGGCATGAATTGGTGATTTATCCACCCCACAACAGGCCAGAACTGCAATTCAATTCATTTGAGGTTCCAAAGTCAGGAGCAAAAACGGTGACGTCTTTGAGAAATTGTTGAGTAAATCAGTTTACAAACATTTAAAAATCAAGTTAATCATTAATAAACATGTAAGCATGGGAACACTCTGAAGTGAAACTTATATTTACGACTTGCCATATTTATATGTACGTTCATGATTAAATGAAAACAACTTATGATCAATACAGGGCAGGCCGGTTGATGCAAGAAGCCAATAAAAACTGATTGAAATAGATGGGTCACTGGATCCCAGCTGAAACATCTACGTTGATGAATTATAGCGTTGTTTATTCTTGTTTTCCGCCAATTGGCTTAGTCATAAGATATTTCTCTATCACCACTGAGGAACATGGTGCCACTGTCTGTAATGAGAATAGAACAGTACCGTCCATGCCGTGTACTGCACCGGTGGATAGTCCTTCCTAACTTTAGCCTTCACATGCACCCATGGACGTCCTGCATTTCATTTACCTTTTCATCAGAAACAGAGGTAGCTTGCATGCCTTTCTAGGATAACTAGCCGTCATGATCTTTTAAAATTATTTTTACTTAGGAACTTGATATTTCAGTTTCTTCATTTTTTGAATTAATAAAATGTTGACAATCACGAGTTGACCAGGAAAATCATGAACTGGGTACCCGAAATTTGACCCTCAAGAGGGATTAATTTTTTATTTGACCTCATCTTCCACCTGCTTCTCTGTATCCATGTGTCCAAGATGTAAATACAAAAGTTACGTGTTCTAAATGTACTAACCGTCCACAACATAACCATAATAAATCATGAAAAGCAAATTGTTCCAAGGAGAAGCTGTCAACTGTTCGATCAAAACCTGGGCAAGACAATGTACAGAAAGAGGCGCCGTTAAAAAAGGACACCAATTTTTTTTTTTTTTTGGTTGTCTCTCTGTTAAGTTAGGTGATCAGTTATTAAGGTTTTAATTGACATAGTACATGAAAACCATCTACAATATCTTATTCAATATTTGACTGATTGATGCTGGAATACACGGTAATACGCTTAAATAGGTTTGCTAGTCTCACAGGGGATGCAAGCATGAGATAAGCATATGAATGATCCAATTCAAAGTTTCTCATAAATAACAAAAACATGTGGTTCAGCAGTTTTACTACCTTTTTGGCTACAGTTTTTGAATCTTTCTTCCCTTTGAAAATTTTATCAAGCACTATGTGAAAGTAATGCCCAAATGGTCCAAGATAAGCAGCTCCAAAAATCTGCATGCAATTAAAAAATCATGTTAACGAAGATAAGCACATGCTACCCAACACGGTTGTAGTTGAATTTAACCATTTAAACAAAAGCTAAAGAATGAACAGCTATAATTTTTCTTATAAATTGCTATAGAGTCATTGTTTCGAGGTAAACCACATGGGGATCGGTAAATGTCCATTGTCTACCAATAAAGGATAACTAGTGGGAATCGAATCAAAGCTCCTTGATCAATGCAGTTAGTTCACTCCACCCTTGTTGGCTATGAAAAGGAAAATATTAACTATCTTGGACTCTATTTTATAGCACCGTTTCTAGTTTCACACGTTCTTTTACCTTCATTAGATAGGAAACCGGTGATACTTTCATGCTTATCTGTCCTGGCTCTTCATTTATAAATTAAAATGTAAGCACGAGGCGCACGAATATCTCCCATGGCACAAAATATGTCACATGCATCCTTGATTGGGCATTACTACAAACAGGTTATGTTCATACAGTCCACTTTGTCTTCATTACTTCATTTCCGACCCAATTTATCTTGCCACTTATCAATAATCAAATGCGTCTCGTACAGATGAACAATAGAGATTATAAGCTTACCACTTTAAGAAGAAGCCGTCTAAGTTGAATTTTTTGTATGCCCGTCAGCTTCTGAGACACCAAGTCGCTGATCCCAGACAACACTCCCGCTGTGATTACCTGGTTTGATCCCGAGAAGTAAATTGACATTGATGCACGAAAATTCATAAAATCGAACCCACATGGTATTTCACCATTCGATTTCAAAAGAGAAGGGGGTAGAACTTTCAACCAAACAAAGGGTCAACGGAGATGGAAGCAAAAGCAGGACAATAGAAGGAGAAACGGTGAAACCTTGGTTCGGAGAGGGTGTTGCTGGAGCTGTTTGACATAATTGTTGAGTCCCTTCTTCACTATGGATCCCATCTTCAAGTCGAAGGTTTGACTGGAAGCTCAGCGAGTGATTCAGAGAGAAGCAGCGTACCTATACCAGTCTCTCAGCACCCTTTCTCGCTATCTATGTCACTCCGCACTTGTTTCAAGATATCCCCCAAACACTAAATAAATCGCAAAAACAAACAAACAAACGCACGCTCACTGCTCCTTGCGCTTAGGAGTGGAAATAATCTAGGCTTTAAGTAAATAAGTAAGCTTGTATAGTTGGTCATAAATCTAACTTTAACTTTAAGCCTGTATTTTTTTTTTCACAATTTAAACTTAAACCTACTTAAAACTTGAATTAACTTATAAATCTATTTAAAATTAAGTCTTTTGAAAAGACTTATATATTAATTTTAAATACCTTAAATATATTTTAATCTTTAGAACTATTAAAGTGAATATATATAATTTAATTTATCAATTATAATATATAATAATTAAGAGGTTACCAACTAAAATACAATACATTAATAAAATAAAAATATCAAAATTAATACATAAGTCCAATCTAATTAAAAATATAATTAAAAATTAAAAAAATAGATTGATTAATAATTAAATGATAAAATTAATGTACATGTAATATATTACATAATAATATATGTAAATATGTTGGCTTACGAGACTCGTGTGCTGGGCCTTATAAAAATAGTTTTGGCTTATTTAATTAAATAGATATAATTAAATGCATAAATTTAACTTGAATTTATTTACTAAATAAGCTAAGCTAATCCTAAAGTAGATCAAATTGTAGGCCTTAGTAAGGGCCTCCTTGTTTCCACCCTTACTTGTGTTCAATAATATAATATTATAATTTATAAATACTTTATAGTGTGTTTGGATTTATGAGAATTTAGATTTGTTATAATTAAAGATACACAAGAATTTATTATTCAAATCCAAATTCATTTCTTATTATAATTTTTTTATAATTTAAAATTCTCTATATACTCTAGTTATTTGAAATTTCAATCATTTCAAATATATCATTGTCTTTGTATTTTTATCATTGATGCATCTATAAGTTTTATATTTGTTCCTCATATTTCATTATTGTCTCTCATCAATTGAGAAATAGAGATGAACTAATCATTTTTAATTTTTTATTTTTCGTTTGAAATTTCAATTCACTTCTCTTCTTCATTTAAAATTTATTAAATTACCCAAACTAATAATTTTAAATACATAAATTTTAAATATAAGATTTGAAATGTGACACTCTAAATTTAGAATTTAAATCCAAACCACCAAATTGAAACCCTATCTTTAAATTTTAACTCAATCACATTGTTTAAAATTTAATTATATTTAAAATTACACACTCTTTTTAAATTTATCCTTACTTCATGAAATGTTTCAATTAAAAACATTATTACTTGCACCCCTTAATTAGGAATATTTTTAAAAAATATCATTAATTGTACTTAATTAATCTAAAACGCTTTAAATTTTTTAATGTCTTACTTCAAAAAAAAAAAATTGTATTTTCAAACGAGAGTATCAAATAGAATTGTTTAAAAAGAAAAATTTCCGGCCCAACTGCAAACGAGGATAGTTTTTCAATTTATTTTAAAATAATATTATGTGTTCGGATAAAATGCGAAGGTGAACAGTAGTGACGGAATGAAAAAAAAAAAGTACAAAATTGAAGAGGCATCCACGTGTTCATAAGGAGCATATTATGTGTGAATGGAGCAACTCAATATAAATATGAATATGCAACTTCTGTTTAGAAGAAATTGAAAGAAATTATAATAGGAATGAAAGAATCATTTTTAAGTTTAAATAATATTTTTAAAAATTAATGTTTTAATTCTTTAACTTTTAATTTATTTGTAACTCAATCTCTCAATTATAATTTAGTGCGACTCAGTCCTTTAATTACAATTTATCTATGACTTAGTTCCTCAATTTTTGACTCACTTTTAATCCAATCTCTCAACTTTCGTTAGCTCTATTTTTTTATGTTAGTTTAGATCTCACATCAAAAAATAAAAGGAGGGTATTTTAAAGCAAAATATAAACATTTCTTTTATCCCTTTTATTTGATAAGGAAATTTTAAAAAAATTAAAAAAATAAGAACCGAGTTATAAGTGAGACAAAAGTTGAGAGACTAAATCACAGTGAGTCATAATTGAAGGACTGAGTTACAGCGAGTTATAGTTGAGGGACTGAGTTATAGGTGAGTTAAAAGTTGAAGGATTAAAAGATTAATTTTTTCTAATATCTTTTTATAATTTGTAACTAAATTTTCTTCATTTAAAAGTCAAAATCTTTAAGATATTGGAAAGCAGGCCATCATTTTGGATCAGATCACAGGGATTTGGAGTTTAAGGAATGGAACCCTTATAAATATCTCATGCGGATGTATAATCCCATCTCATTTACAACCTGCATGAATAACTCATTGTAACCCCTTATAATACTTTCATGACTATTCTTATTCAATTGTTGTGGCCCCTCATTATGTCTCCTACGGAGTATAATTGTCTCTGCATTCAGTATCAAACAATAACCACCAGAGCATTTCTTTGAGAATATTTTCTCTTTTCCTTGAGTTCTACATGGTACATGTATTTCAACAACAACAACAAGTTTTATCCCATTGGGTGACGTGCTACATGGATTATATGGCGCTATTGTACTCTATCATTTATTAAATTTTTAATAATATTGTTAATTAAAAAGTATCGCTTAACAACCTCCAAAAATATTTTCTTTGACTTTCCTCTACTTTTCTTAACAAAGTTTAAAGTTATCTGTTTTACTCTCCTTACAGGTACCTCTTATGATTTTCCTTGTACATGTTCAAATCACCTCAAATGATTTTTGTACCATTTTTCCTTCAATAAGTGCCACACCTATTCTTTCCTATATTCGCTCATTTCGAATTTTATCTTTTCATGTATATCCACACATCCATCTCAACATTTTCATATTTACTACTTTAACTTTATGCTCTTGTTGTCCCATTAAAGCTCAACATTATATTCATTACCATATAGAATTATTGGTCTTATAACAGTTTGATAAAACTTCTTTTGTCTCCACAATAAGGACTATATCACCAATGAAAAGCGTACATTTAGAGATTTCATCTTGAATGTGCTTAGTCAAAATATTTAAAACTAGATCAAATAAATAAAGGCTCAAAGATGATCTCTAATACAGTCCAATCTTTATAGAAAAGTCTTTTGTTTCACCACTAGACGTTCTTATACTAGTTGTTGCCCACTTATACATGTCTTGTATAGCTCAAATATAGGCAACCCAAACATCCTTCTTTTCCAATTCCTTTCAAAGTACTTCTCTCGGTACACGATCATAAGCTTTTTACAAATCAATAAAAACTGTATGTAAGTCTTTACTTTTGTATTAATACTTTTTCATTAATCCCCTTAGTAGATAAATTACTTTTATTGTCGCTCTACTTGGCATGAAGCTAAACTGATTCTCAAAAATATCAATTTTCAATCTCAACCAATGACCGATCACTCTTTTTTCATAATTTTATAGTATAACTCATAAGTTTAATCCTTTTGTAGTTAGCACAATTATAAATATCTCTTTTATTTTTGTAAATAGGAGCTAAGTTGCTCCTCTTCCAATTGTTAGACATTCTCTTGAATTGTAAGATTCATTAAAAAATTTAGTCAACCACTGCACCTCTTCTTTACCCAAACATTTGCACATTGTAATAGGGATATCATTAGATCTATTGGCTTTACCATTTGTCATTTCCTTAAAAGCTTCATTTACTTTTCAAGCTCGTATTTTTCAATAAAAAGATAAATTTTGCTCTCTTTCAAGAGTTACTAAATCTTTCATTGATTGACAAACCCTTACCATCATTAAAAAATTTAGAAAAAATATGTCTCCCATCTGTCTTTAATATCACTATCTATGACCAAAATATTTTCATTCTTCATTCTTTATACACCTTACTTATTTCAAACCTCTTGTTTTTCTTTTCTCACTCTTAACAATCTTATAAATTTTTCGTTCTTCATTCTTTGTCTCAAGACCATTGTAAAACTCTTCAAATGCTTTAAAACGAGCTTCACTCACTGCCTTCTTAGTTTTCCTTTCAGCCATACGATACCTTTCCAAATTTTCATCATCATTGCACAAATGAATAGTTTTAAGACACTCTTTCTTATGCTTAATTTTTTTCTGTACACTATCATTTCATTATTAAGACTCCTTATCTCTCGAATCAAAACCTTTAGATTCTCTCAAAAAATTTTTGCAACTTTCCTTATGTTCAGAGCCAAATCCTCTCATAAAATGTAAGTACTTCTTCAAGACTCTCAAATTATTTCAGGCAAGAGATTTTTCTTGAAAAATAATATGCTATCTTTATCCTCAATTATAATGTTGTTTATCACCCTTCTTAGCATCTCAACTATAACCTTATGTTTCTAACTAGCATCTAATTCCTTGCGAATTGCGATGTTGTTAAAAGGAAAAAAGCGTCTTGCTTGCGATTTCTTCTTAATTCTCTCCCATCGTGTCTTCTTTGTGCAAGCACTTCCCCCCTCCTTGTTTTTTCTTCCATCATCATCTACTGCCTTCTGGCATACGTTGCATTTAATTAGATCCTTTTCTAAAATATTTACTCTACTCGATCTTATGATTTCCCTAAACAAATAAGCTCTCATATATATATATATATATATAGAGAGAGAGAGAGAGAGAGAGAGAGAGAGAGATTAGATTCATGTATTGTGCATGTTTGCAACAGGATTTAATTTGGTTTAATTTGTTTCTTTTTAAGCTCAAAATCTCCTCAAATTTCTTCTTCATCTTTTTCCCTATCTTATCTAACTCTTTCCCTACAGCCACAAAGAAAAGGGTCCCACACACATACATCTCATCCACGCACACCTGGTATTTTTTTCCCATGATCACATGGAAAATTGATCTTAAAACCTGTATCAAAGGGTAAGGATCACGTCACTTGAACTACAAACTCTTGATCATCTATGTGTAATTTAATGTATGAAGTCTTCATAAAACTTTGCTGGAGTAATGAAATTTAATTTTATTAAGTTATATAAAAACATTTTTGTCAAGGAATTTACCAAAAAAAAAAAACATGATGATGATGATGATGATTTAGGGGAAATTATTCTATATGCATGTATTTGGAGAAACATCTTATAATTTGGTAATTTATATGTAATTCTCAAAGTGAAAGTGTGTGTGTGTTTGTGAAGTTCATAGAGTCCTCCTTTTCTTGAGCTTCCTAGAAATTAAGTATGGGAATCAATATAATGCTCAAAATATTGTCTATCTTTAATTTTTGACAGAATATTGGCTTCTTTGTGGATGATTTATTTCAGTGAAAGAAAGAAAAGAATGTGAAAAAAAACTCTACCTTGTAAATCATGAACATTTCTATATTTGACATACCAAAACATAACATCTACATAAAATGTCAGAAAGTCAAATTTAAAACCCAAAATTTAAAATAGAATTGTATTTTGTTCATAAAAAAAGAAACACGAAATGAAGCATAGATATCATATTAATTAATTAGCCCAGAGCTCTAAGCATAATTCTCATTTTGGTTTAAGATTACTGAAATAACACAAGGCAAATTGGCAATTATAATGTTACACCTAACATGTCAAGGCGCTCAATTTGAGGACTTCTTTGTATAAGCTTGTGCCAAACTTCATACTTCTTTAGGTCAAATGAATATACTGCATTTAACTCTATATGTTTAAGATTCGTGAAATATGGCATATTATCTTGAAATTCCCGATTCTCGGCTAGAAGCTGAAACAAAAGGCAAATTGAAATTATAAAACTTGGAAAAAAAGAATATTAGATTGAATCCTCATGCAAAACAGTAATAAATAAATAATCTCAATTGAAAAAGGAGCGTGTGACAGAAGTGAGAACAAAGACAAGGCTGAATCTAACAAGCATGTTTTGAAACATTTTCAAGTTACAATTTTTTAAATAAGAGAAGTAATTAATCTTACCGTGATAGTTGTATCCCCAAATATCAACTTATTTAGAGCATGAGAAACCCTTCTTAGAAGCTTCATTATGCGGTTGGCAATGAAGTTTTGATCCCAATACCATTTGATAAGGAAGTCATGATCTTCATCCCAATTGGGAGTAATGTTTTGAGGCCAGACCTCAACATTAATGGTTACCTCTTCTAACAATGCAGGATTTAGGATGCAGTAATCAAAGTAAAATTGGCCACTATAAGTGAATTTTTTGAGATCATCCCCATGAATTACAAATTGATCAGACCTATTCGAAACATTTGGAAGTGGACAATTTGCTTCATCTATAATCAACTTCTTAAGCTTGGAAGATGATATAGTTACTGTCTTGATATTTTTCCACAAGCAATCTTCTAGATGCAGATGCTCAAGAACATGACATGCTGAAAAAAGATTCTAAGTTGAATGCTCATTAAAGAAGATGACTTGATAGAGCTTCAACATCTTTAGGTTTGATGAGATATATGCAGAAGAGAGTATTGAATTTGTAAGACTCTTATAGCTTAATTCAACATATAAATGAGTCAACATTGAGGGTTCACACCCTTCTGCAAAAATCAATGCTTCAACAGGACATGAATCATCCATGTGCCCTACAAGCTTAAATTGGATGCTTCTAGGAGGTACTTGGATTGAAAGACCTTGTTCTACAAAATTGATCAATTCATGCTTGGTTTCAGAATCTTGCGTGAAATAAAGTGCAGGAATTGACGTCCATAAGTATCGCCATCTCTTAGATAATATGCTGGTTTGAATGGCGGTTTTTGGTGAAACAAAGCAAAGAATATGCAAAAGAATCTCATCATTAAAGTCACTCAAGCTTCTTTTTTGGCTAGAGAAGTCAATCAAGCTTCTACCGCTACCATAATCCATGTATATCTGATATGGGTTTCAAAAGTTTTGTTTGGCAACAATCATCAACCTATTTACAATACAATTTTGAGTTTAAATGATTCTCAAGAACAACATAAGACAGGAGGCTTACCTTGCCTTGCCAACCATAAATGAACCTTCATTGCTCTTCGCTAGAGATTTCAAGGGAAACACTACGGCAGCCCAATCAGAGGCACAAGATTTCAAATTTAACCTAACATATTTAAATCTTATAACCATGTCTCGTGCAATTAAATATGTACTAATCTATATCTATATCTATATCTTTATTGTATATATAGATATATATTTCTAACTATCAATTTATTATTATTTTCAAATTTTATGATAATATGCTTTTATTTTATATTTTGATTATTTTTAAAGGTTTAAAAATATTTTTAAAAAGCAACGATTTCCTTTAAAAAAGCTTGAACATGCATCCCAAATGTTTAAGGACAAGATTTATATAATAAGTCTTATATACTCACATCCAATCAAATCAAAAGAAGTGTATTTTAATATGTTAATAAAATAATTTATACAAGATCTACATGCCTTAATTTAATTAAAACTAAGTACTTTAAATATATAATGTTAAATACATAAATTTTTTCAATATTAAATGTGAGTTATTTTTGAAATAAAACTAATTGATGGAATATTATATTCAGCGTTGTTAATTTACTTTTGAATATAAACAAATATATAATGTATATACGTTATTTTTTTTACCATAATATAAGTCATTTTTAATTAATTTAAATTTTTTAAAAAATTAGTTAAAAAATTTTTAACATCTTTTGAATTATGCCCTTAGATATAATAAATATAATACTTGACTTATTTAAAACACTTTTATTAATTACTTGAGTGAATATAATAAAAAATATAATTGGACAAATATATATTATTTAACATCCTATATTTTCGATCAAGCATGATTTCTAAAGAATACTTTGCTTTTTGATCCAAATAAGGAGGTATATTTATTTCATATTTATAATCTAAAGAATGATCAGCTAAATGATTCTAAAAGATGATCGTTATATAATATATTTAAATTAAGATTATATATATATATATATAAAGTCCCGTTTGATATTTGATTTTATCACTGCTAGCTGCTACTACTACTATTATTATTACTACTACTATTATTATTAAAAGAAATAACAATAATTTGGGAAAGAGTAAGTTGGTACTCGTGCTTTAACTTTTTATTAACTTTTATATTTAATTTTCGAAGCCTGATGAGATATATATATATATATATATATATGAAACTATAAACAAGACTTGTCCTTTAACTTTGATTGCTTTCTCTTCGATGGTCAAACACTTCTCACCATGAAAATTTGGAAGGGATTTCCTATTACAGCGCATAATAAATAGGAAAAAAATAAATTATATTTTGATTAAATTTTTTATTGGAAATTCTCTCTCTCTCTCTCTCTCTCTCTATATATATATATATATATATATAAATTCTTAATCTTATTTTTTTGAAAGACAAATAATTCAAGAATTTTAATTTTTAAGAATTAACATATTGAATAGACCAAACTATAAACACTTGATTAAATCAAAATAAATTATATGAATTTAATTCAGAATTTAGAAAAATTATAAGGAGGTATAGATTAATTTTGTTATTTCATTTTAACCTCTTAATTTTATTAAATTTTACATTATTTGTTACTGTTCATAAGCAATTCTATTTAAGACTAGTTGTTTTTAGAAATTAACTAAATGGCCAGTCTTAAATAGAAAGGAGAATTATACATACAAGTTCTATGATAGATAATTAGATACTTTCAGGTTCATTGATAATAATATGTTATCATTTTCTTAATTAAGCTCAATTGTTAATAAATTTAGGAATAATTGATTATTTTAATCTTAAAGTAATTCTCCTAAAATAGAATTGCCTTTTAATAGGAGGATATGTATGATTAAATTATAATGTTAACAATATGCTATCTTTATCCTCAATTTTAATGTTGTTTAGCACCCTTCTTAGCATCTCAGCTATAATTTTATGTTTCTAAATATCATCTTTCCTTGCCAATTGCGATGTTGTTAAAAGAAAAAAAAAAAAAAGCATGTTGCTCGCGATGTTCTTCTTCTCTCCAATTGTGTCTTCTTTGTGCAACCACTCCCCCCCTCCTTGTTTTTTCTTCCAGAATCATCTGCTGTCTTCTTGCAATATTCTGTATTATTAATTAGATCCTTTTCCAAAATATTTACTCTACTCGCTCTTATGATTTCCCTAAACAACCATGCTCTCATACATATACATACATATATATATAGAGAGAGAGAGAGATTAGATTCATGTATTGTGTATGTTTGCTATACGGATTTGATTTGGTTTGTTTCTTTTTAAACTCAAAATCTCCTTAAATTTCTTCTTCATTATGTCAATATTTATCTTCTTATTATCTGATCAAATTTTCGTGCTCATCTAAATTTTGAGCATTTTTCAAATTATTTTGATTCTCGGGGTTAAAAACTCCTTTAAAAAAATAATAATTAGACGAAGTAATGTTGATTAACTATGGACAATCGATCGATTTTAATATATAAAACCAGCTTCTTCTTCTTCTTCTTCTTCTTTTTGGATGAAATGTGATCATCTTGTTTTTTAAGCTTGTAAAATGCGTATTTATGTACGTGCGAATCTATTAATTAATGCATCAGATATGTACGGTATTTTTTTATTCCATATATTTTTATTTTAAATTCACTTTCCAATTTTTTATTTCCATTAATTGGAGTTTAGGTCTCGATAAAATTGTTACTCTGGGTTTACAATTAAAAAAAGAACTAATAACACGTCATTTTTTCCACGGGCAGTAGTATTTGTTCACCTGCATTATTTGCATTCTTTGAAATTTGAATAGCCGTGCAAACAATGTTTGAAATTCAATAATATGAACAGTTGACCCTCCCCCCCCCCCCCCCGGGGCCGGGGGTATGAGCGAGTAATGTAAGGAAGCACTCAAGTTTTTCACTTTTTCTACAAATCGAACAAATGCGATCATTCTTCTAGTCTCTAATTGATGCTGTATTATTTGATAGGCCGGTTAGTTTTTTTACTTAAAACGTGCCAATCATTAATTAATGAACACATATATTATTTGATCCGTGAAACTTGTGTCTTCGCCATCCTTCTGTTTTCTTCTTTTTGGTTGGGAGTGAACCTATAAATATAATGCCATATACAAGCAATATATATTTTTCCTTTTGCTTTCCTTTGCGTGATAAATTATAAATATTTCTTTAACAAAGGCAGCTTTGGCCTTATGTGTATATATATATTTATATATCCCTGCGTGGATATATTTATATATTCTAACCGGACATTATTAAGCGATTTTATAGACCAAGTTATTATCTTCAACCATTCACGTTTTTTAGGCTATGCTAAAAAAATTAAGTTAAATAATAGTAAATATATTTTAAAAATACCCCATGCCATTCATTAATTTTATTTTTCAAAAATCCATTGTAAATATTATAATCATTAGTTTTATTTTTTCTCGAGATATCACATACTTCTATGCATAGAACAACTTACTATGAATCTTCCAAAATTCCTTGCATATTTATTAAAAAATTCAAAATAAATTTCCTTTTATTGAAAATGATCTATAAATATTAATTAGAGTTATATACTGAATCTTAAGTTTCAAAGATCACAAATTAAAACATTGTTTCTTATGTTGTATGAAAGCCAATAAAAAATTGGTTTGGTCGGTAAAATTCAGTAGCATTTGACTAAAATAGTTTTGATTTGTCGTTTTTTTTTTTAATTCCAACACCCAATATCTTGAAAAACTTAATCCAAGGCCCATTGTGTGGAACTATTTTTATAAAAACAGCCTTATATGTACTTCAAGAATGTTTTTAGTATTTTTATTTAATGTTGTTATATATCTCAGCAGGACTTAAACTCAAAAATTCAAAATAAGCTCATTCAACTTCTTCAATCAACTGGACATTCGTAGTTATATATGTGTTCTGTGTCTATACATGTTATGTTTGTAACAATCTAGTTTAGTCTAATTGGTGGTAACTCTACACAAAAGCTTTTTTTTTTTTTTCTTCTGAGTATTTATACAGGCTCAAACTTGAGATTCTATGTTTAAACCGTCCTAATCTCTTCACTATATGATTGACGTGGGTTGATTTTGTTCATGGTTTTCTTATTGATAATTCGTTCTCATTGAAAGTGAATTGTCAGTATATTGGCTTCCACTTTTTATTCTCCAAACGACGTTAAACGTACACGCACATTGACCAATTGGAACTGTTGACTAGGACTTGTGGGGACGGGTCTGAAAGCTTTGCGAGGAAATTCCAAGCGTTTCCAAAACTAGACCGTGTGGTGAGACTTGGACTTACAATAGCCTATCCCCCCACTTGTTAAATGAAACTTATACACGTCAGCGATTACGCATTATGATTACGAGCTCCCTTACTAAGTAGCATTTCGGAGAAAATAACATCGTTTGTACGTAGTACGCGAACAGGAGTGATTAATTATGCAATTTCTCAAAAACTGATTAATATTTGCTTCATTATCATATAAACATAAAACTTGGCCATTAATTTATCATCTCCTCGATCACTTAATAGAGATGACAACAGGATAGAATGGCCATTTAATACTCATCTTTGTTTTACATTCTTTTATAACTTTTCATATTAACTATCTCATAACTTTTTTTATGTTCTCTCTTTCTTGTATTTCCTACTTAAATTTTAGAATATTCTATCTTCTTATGCCTGATTGTTTCAAAATTTATTACAAAGTAAGTAGTATTAAAATATTTTCCAAATCAATTTATTCGGATTAAAAAAAATTATATAGAACTCAACAGATTATTTTTAAAACTAAACATCTTTAATTTTGGTGCCACGCGATATACTGGACATTGAATAACCATATATATATATGGAGAGAAATATATATATATATGAATAAAATTTTA